AGGGGTAGGATGCTTGCCAACTTTGCATGTGGTCTGCAGTTCGATCCCCCCCCCCCCAACGAACCTCTCTAATAAGACTGGTGAAGAGGAAAGGTTGGGCATGAGGCTAGCAATACCAACCCGTAAAAGTTAACACCACTGCCATGGTAACTTCCAATTTCCAGCTTGAAGTCTTATATTCCACTGAGAACATAAAGGAATAAAAACAATATAATTTCTAGATGCAGAATTCCTCTTCACCAACATCCCAATGAAAAAGCCCATTCACTTTTACTGCAAATATACAGATGATAACAAGCTGAATGCTTGAGAGTACAAAATACGTATCTGAAAGGAACTACTACTAAGGGGTGCATTGAATGTACAATTTCTAATCCAATGAAGCAGTCTACAGACAAAAGGAAGGTAATTTCATAGGATCTCCTTCTGTTTGAAAAATGTTTTATATTTAGTCTATAAAGTGGTCAAGAGAAGTCAGTAATCAAAGGTTTGCAGCTGTATAAAAGTTACATGAACGACGTCTATAATATTTCTGATGTTAATCACGATTTCAACTACAAATTTAATTCACCTAATAAATGCTGTACAGCGATAAGATTCCCATTTGAAATGGAGAACGAGTCTAATATTCTTTTTGTTAGTGTAAAATTTTCTAGCAGCAGTGACAATACTTTGAGATGGTGTGGTCAGAGAAAAATGTCATAGACTGGTCAGCAGATCAATCTTCTGCATCCGGATATCTATTATTCTCAAAACAAACTTGATTCAGTCACCCAACATTCATAATCGGCGTATTGTGTGACGTTGATGCTACAGAAGAATAGTTTAATCACATAAGAAACATCCTAAATGAAAACGGTTGTTCATCACCTATCGTAGACAGAGATATAAAACCAAAATCTATTAATTGTGGCTTACTGTGCTGTCAGTATGTCTGTTTTCGATATAAAACTTTGCACCAATGTGCGACAGTTTAAGTCGCCGCACTCCCTTCTTGTAGCACACAAAACAAGAGAAGAAAGTAAAAGAAATGCATAATAGAGACAGTAAACAGAGGTGTGAGACAAAGAAATAGTAGTAACGAAGAACAATGTAGTTTCGTTGGAAAGCATAAGTCTCAAGGAGTGGATGCATTTGCGTCAGCCTTTGAGAACGATTTTGAGCCATATCACCAATTGTTTCAGGCCACTGGTTTTTACCCTCCCGAGGACCCTAACCAGTCAGTCAGGAAGTCTACACCTTCCTACGTGACCGCCTGAAAGTGACCGTTGTGGATTTCATTGACTGGTGCCATGTTTTGGTTTAACCACCACTGACTAGCTATATTCAAGCCTGACCCTATGTCAGCTAACATTGCCCGTCGAGGGAGGCGATTGATCACTAGGCATACGTAACATATGTTCTAACCATCTCAGTTGATTTAATTTCACAGCCTCGTCGATTGATTTCCCCTCCCACCTACCTACCACTCGACCGACGCCTAACCTCAATATAACTCACCTTATTACACCACTTCACACGGGAGATAGAACGCAGGCACCTATGATCAAAGACAGCTAAACTTTTCATGTCGCCCACTCTCAATGGCCATGTCTCACAGCTGGCCATAAAGGAGGACGGAGCGGACTGCTGAGCAGTACACACGCCCTTTGATCGATAGCCGTATATCAATTCTACGCCAAAGACGGTGTAAACTGGCATACGCGAAACTAGCCCACTGTATCCGTGCTGAGATTTCGTCAGAGATCAACCCGTTGGCACTGGCTGATGGTACTTCCCAAATAAGTGAAGCGGTCAACGTGCTCTACCACTTCACTCCCTATTTCTAAACTAGAAGTCAGTGTGGTCCAGTCCTGTAACATCATCTTGCATTTGGCGGGAGCGAATCGCATGCCAAACATTCGTAGATTTAGGCTCAAGGTGTTTAGAAGACTCTGCATTTTGTCAGCGTCCTCGCCTAGAAGGACTATTTCGTCTGCATATTCTAAGTCAACGAGATTATTCCGTGGTAGCAAGTCAATCCCTGTGTCTTTGAAGTGAGTTACGGTTAAATCCATCAGTACATCTATGATGAAATTGTGCTTGCTGTGCACATTTTAGGAAGTTTTAAGTGGCCTAGCTATTAACATCTTTTAAATAAGGATCTCACAATCAGTGAAAGGGATTCTTGTTGCATCATCGCGTAGAGTAATGTTTTCTACATGAGTTTTACTCTTCAAAAAAGATATACAAACCAGATTTCGTATTTGGCCAACATTCACTTGCCTATGTGTACAGTAGTATATCGACTTTTCCATGGGGATTTTCTCTGAAATGGCGGAACAAGATTACCCTGAGTATTTGTGAAGGGATGAAAATGAAGCTTCAATAAGAAATAGAGTAAATGAACATTTCATCAATGCTTATCATTTAATCCCTCTGGTTGAAATGGCTTTTAACTTCTTTGTGAATCTATAAAGTCGAAAATGAGGCTTTAAGATAAATATGTATTTATGCCACTTGTATCATTGGAGCTTTAGTCATTGAAAAGGAGAAGTCAAAAGTTTGTATAGCCAACCCTTGTCTCATGTTATTTATCCTCTTATCCTAAATTATTACTAAAAAATAGACAGAAATGACATATTCCCTCTTTCTTTTAACGAGTATCACCTCTTGTCTATTTCTCGGGAGCCTTTCTTTCTAACAATAATCGCTTCCGTAGAGAATTTATCTTATTACGTAATATCACATATATAGTTATTCATTTCCTCTGTAGCTTTCTTTATCATATTTTGATGAACATCCCCTAGTGTCAACATATTTGTGCTCATAGGTTTGATCACGAGCTGAAGTCACTAAGAGAACCATTGAAAACTACGTAGTGATGGACAACTATTTCGCCATATTTGGGGACACTTTCACGAAACGCATCTACGAATATATCGGGGATCGGACGCAGGAATGTCATGTTAAAAGGAGAGTTTGTAGACTAATTAATTACTGGAAACCGATCCATTGTGCCATAAATTCCAACTTCCGCCGTACTAATGAGGAGTCTCAAACTGAGACAAAACAACTGTCTAGAATTCCTTTGTTCTCAAATGGTTCTCTAACTGATATCGACTAATAATCAAAGCTGTAACCAATTGAATCCGTGCAAACGAACACTTGATTACTCTGTAGTTATTCTGCTTGCTACTATATATTTTAAATGTGAAACTAGTGAATTGTTATATGAAAGAATTTTATATAATTGCGATTGTATATCAGTTGTGTAAGTGAAATCGCCAAAAAATGTCTCTTCAATGAATCACTTGTGTGGTTAAAAACTGCAGTCATTATTATATATGTATATATATACATATGTACGAGGTAGAAGAGAAGTGACACCTTTATACTTCTGTATTCTTCAAGAAGCAACATTGAAAGTTATTGATCATTTCGTTGACAGACTTTACTTGAACTAGTCCATGAAAGTTATCTGCCACTGTATTAAAATCCTAGTCAGTGTCGCTGTCTGTCCCTAGAGCTGAAATATATTATGCTAAATAAGTAAGAACTACAAGTGATAAAAATATTTGAATTGACACTTTTCTCACTAAAATCAGCTTATTGAGTATTGAGTCTAATATCTGTTGAAATATAACCGTAGGAAGACATTTAAAAGCTTGATAAGAAATTATCTTATTTAACGTGAAGAATGCTTAGCTTTCAAGGAGACAGAGAGAGAGGGATATAACTAGAGTCTATGCGAATTATTTGGTGTGTCAGTGGTTGAAAGGTAGAGTATTCGCCATCCACGCCCTACATCGTGTAGGTTAGGATCCTTGATCAATGAACTTCTAAACTGGCTTAGCCAGTAGTAAGCCACTCGGTAGAAGAGGCAAGTTTTGGGCATGAGTCTAGAAACTTCACTTCTTAGAAAAGGAACAAAACAACTGCCACTGAAACCTTAAAGCCCAGGCTGAAAATTTCATATATATATATATATATGCGTAAATTACATAATTCATGAAATCCTTTAAAAATGGTGTTTAATTAGAACCAGTAGGATTCCTCATCCTTAGTGTTGTCATTATTTTATTTATTCATTTAATCATATTTGTTCAAGTCAAAGGGTAATTGATTTTTGAATCACTTCTTAATAACACTATTTCCCAACACATCTGGTTGAGGTTTAATAATCCTCGCTGCCAACTTCTCATGTAGTACAGGGTTCGAATCCCGACAAGTACACATCTTTACCTTCCTTAGCTGGTTGTAAGCCCAACAAAGAAAGAAGAGGAAGTGTTAGGCTAACACTCATTGTTATTATATTATTATTGCTTCCTTTAGTTCTTAGAGGAACATCGGGCTTCAGCCGTAGGTCTCCATTGCGTTCTGTTCTCTACTTACGTTTTCACCTGGCTCCACGTCTTCCCACATGCTTTCATCTCCTTCTCACATGACCTCCTCCATATCACACCACCCTCGCACTGACAACCAACCAACTTGCCGCTTCCCGTTCGGGTTTCACTTGAGCAATGGCCTGTCGTGTGATGTCACTCACATGAAAGTTTGTTTTCTCAGAATATGGCCAATCCACCTCCATTTCTTCCTGCAATTTTTGCACAACTGGTTCCTGCTGTGTTGGTTCACTTATTGCTAGATATCCTTATTGCTAATCTTTTCTAGCAAGCTATCTGATCTTGAATAGTATTGAGCGAAAACAACTGTTGATAAAGGTCTGTAGTTTGTTTGAGGTGCTGAACATGACGTTCCAAGTTTCTGATCGATAAACTAGTACTGACTTCACATTGAAACATTATATTCCACTGGGTTGAGTGAATACCATCTTTCAAATGACTCTATACAATTTATCTCTCTATAATAATAATAATAATAGTAATAATATTTATAAACAGTTGAATACACATCTGCTTTATGAGAAAAAGTAAATGAAAGTTAATACGTCAGAATATTTTTCAAAACATAAAATTTTTTTTAAAATAAAGCAATAATTTTCAAAAAAAAATTCATACCAATATTTGACACAGTATTCAACAGTGTGACATATGTCCCACCGATAGCTGGATCACTGATCTTTGCATTGAAGGCCATTTGTAAGAGTAACATAAAGTTAAATAAAATTGTTTCAGTTAATCCAAAAGCGCAGAGAATTGCATAAAATGTCCAAGAATATGATGCTGTTGCTTCATTACTGCTATTCATATTTATTAAGAGTGTATTATTTATTGTTAAAGCATTTTCATCTACACGAAACGATGGAGTGTAATGAATGATTGGAATACTGAAAATATTACAAATCAACCTGATATATATATACAAGAAGAAGAAAACATTAACAATAAAAACAGTGTGAACAATATTAGAGAGTTTTAGTAAAATGTTATACGCTTCAAAGTTAAATTACACTTTCAACGACTGATTAATTAACACGGGAATATTCTTTCCCGATAAATTCGTCTTTATCAGATTCTACATTTATATAACTGTAATAATTAAACACTACACATCAGATATCTTGAGGAGTTCATCATTGAACTTATGGTCAAGAGACTTGAAAAGAATTCTGTTCTATCTGTTAATAGGACAATTGACTCTCTCTCCATGTCTCCATCTGTATAAATATATATACATATATATTATATCCTTTAATTCCTAGACGAACATAGAGCTTCGACCGCGTGTCTCCATCGCGTTCAGTTCTCTGCCAACGTTTTCACCCCGCTCCAAGTCTGTCCACATGCTTTCATCTCCCCTTCACATGACCTCCTCCAAGTCGCCCTCGCACTAGCGACCAACTCGCCACTTCCCCTTCGGGTTCCACTCGAGCAATGGCTTGTCTAGTGATGTCATTTGATGGTTTCCTCAGAGTATGGCCAGCCAATCCATCTCCATTTCCTCCTGCCTATTTGTTTCACAATCGGTTCCTGGTTAGTTTGCCCCCAAAAGTCCTTCACTGTTGCTGATCTTTTCTGGCCGGCCATCCGATCTTGAGTAGTATTGAACGAAGACAACTGTTAATGAAGGTCTGAAGTTTGTTTGAGATGCTCTTTATGACGCGCAGTGCAAGTCTCTGATCCGTATAGTAGCACTGACTTCACATTGGAGTTGAAAATCCGGATCTTATTTTTGATGCTGGGTTCTGCTGATCTCCACACAGAGTAATGAAAGTATGTAAATATATATATATATATCTTTAAACGACGACAACTGAAAGCCGATATACCAAGTGAAATAAAATCATGAACTGGTTGAAGTTAGAATTCATGGGCTGGCCATTGAATAAGTCCCGAAAGGCTAAATGGTCTACGAGCTTGCCTTGTAATCGGAAGGTAATTCAGTTGAAAACACAGTGGATGTGCACTGACAATGAATCTAAAGCAGGGACGAAACGGCTGTCCAGTACTCCCTGGTTTTTGATATTTCTCTAACTGTAATCGATCTGTGGTCAAATCTGAAACAAAGTGAATTACAAACAAACAAACTCATGAAAAGTAATAATAGTAACCAACAAGTTGATTAAAGCAATCCAAAGAATGCTAAATGCTGGTAAACTACAATTTATGTTTTCACCACAACCTGTTGCGATACCGAAACACGAAATATGTAGGCTAGCCACTGTCCCTCGTGTGAAGCCAACTATACTCACCGTTGCTCTAGGAACCGAATTTTTTGTGCAAGGAAACATCCACCGATGTGATTAAATAAAAGTGTTGTTAGAACTGTCAACAGTTCTACATTGCATCACCTCGTCCAATACGCCACGAAGCCACCTGCTGAAGTCTTTCTCTACCATCTATCAAGTATAAAATAAATTACCAAAGGACTCTAGATAGTGAAAACTACAAACAGCAAAGAGCCATTACCATTCTCCTGAAACAACCGGAGCTCAGCCAGCCGCTGCCTCTATCCTGACCTGTTCTCAAGCCTATAAACCCATAAATTCTCTGTTACTTTCCTCAGTTTATCTGATATTCAGTTTCATTGTTTCTTCAATGTATGTTATTTCTGTCTTACTGAAACTTTTGAAATGTATTCTGTCGATTCTACTGATTGATTCAATATAATCTCAACCATGGATTTGTTCATTAACAAGTATGGGGGATCTGAAGGTTCAGATGTCAAGCAAATCACAGTGGAAAATAGCACACCTACGCTTAACTTGATTTTAAAGGAGGAAATATTACACAAATTTTCAATCGAAGATTGAGGACATCACTGGGCAGAGCCTATCCTTCAGCTAAGCTGATATTCTCAGCTATCGGACAACAGGCTCTTTGGTGCAATCAAAAATCGACAGATATCCTTCTCAAGTTAACTCCGACTGTATATACAAATTTACATGTATGTGCGGGAGCAGTTACTTTGGAAGAACAGAGAGAATGGTATACCTACTATTTTCTGAACATGTACCAAAACCCTATGTCTAAGGGGAACAAATGCTTTAAACAGGGCCATCACTAGGCATCTTCTTGACATGGTTATGAGGTGGACGTTGTTTAAAATTATCAATAGGCAAAAGTGTTCAATTCTCCTCAAGTTTGGCGAAGCCTTTTCGATAAAGTACCTGAAACTTGATTTATATGTTCAGAAAGAAGTGATTATCACTCTTTCTTCGCCCTGCCTGGTTACCAGATATTTTCACCCTCTCTTTCATCTGACTACGTAATACCGGAAGTTTTCATTGTGTACGATCATTATTGTTAGGGATAAAGTGTTTGCTATCATTATTATTACATATTATTATTTTTGTTTAAAAATGAACTGTATGCAAGTATGTTAAAATTATTTCTAGGATTTCATCATGAGCTGACATTGGTTAGAGAGCCATTGGAAAACCTGCAGGGAGTTATGGACAGCTGTTTTGCCCTAGTTTTTTGACTATTCAGCAGTACGCACCCACGGGGATCTAACCCATCACTTGAATATCGATGAGCTGCTGACTGGCGACTTGCACTAATCAGCTAGGCAGTTGCCAGGGGTTCTGGTGGGAAGTCGTCACCAGTAGGCTGCAGCAGGTCAGGTGTGAGGACACATACTCGCCACGGATGACATTGGTTAGTTGTTGTACTATGTGTTGAATTGTCAGAAGTTAGAATTCTTGGGCTGCCCGGCCTTTGGATTGGGTCCCAGTGGCTTAATGGTCAACGAGCTCGCCTTTTGACCAGAAGGTCCTGGGTTAGAACCTCGGTGGCTGCGTACTGCTGAAGAGTTACAAACTAGGCGGACGAAACAGCTGTCCAGTACACCCGGCAGGTTTTCCAATGGTTCTCTGAGCGATATCAGCTCATGATGAAATCCTGCAACCAATCAGTCAGATTCCCACGAACCAACACTTGAAAACTGTTTTTGTAGATAAACTTAATAATGACTTTGGTCTGTAAGCAGCTAAGCTGCAGAGAAGCCAACGAAATAACACGATGATGGTACCATTTTATGCTACACAAAACCACTGTTGTTCTTACTTTATTCAAATTCATTAAGGGCAATAAATGTGTAAAATTTCAATCATGAATGTTGTGAATAAAAATATTTCTTTAATTGTTACTATCACACAAACTGTTTATAGGTATCTTCAATGAACTGAATTACATTTTTTGAGAAAAAAAAATTTGTGAAATAATAATGACTATCGATCAATTATAGAAGTAACAAAGAAAAAGTTTATTTTGTAAATCTGTAACTCTATAGTTCACGACCATAACAGCTGATATTCTCGGTAATAGATTATTAAGAGCAATTTGGAAAAACCAAGACATTCTTTATTGTGTTTTTGCGTCTTATTTTTTTCTCTGCATGATATATATTATTCACTAAAATATGGATAATTTTCAACTGTTGGTAAATATCTGTGTGAATATACCAGTTTTCAAGTATTGGTTTTTGTAGGGATTTTGTATGGAGGATTTAATCATGAGCTGACATCAGTTAGAGAACCACTGGAAAACCTGGGAGTACTGGACAGCTGTTTCGTCCTAGTTTGGGACTCCTTAGCAGTACGCACCCACCGGGATTCGAACCCAGGACCTCATCCATGCAATATACCAGTTCACTTGCTTCTCTGAAGTTGAGTATTATTATGATTCCATTAGGTTCTGAGTGGAACAAAGGGATTCAACAGTACACTTCCGTTTCATCCGCATCCCTTTAGTCCTTTTTGGCTGTGTTTGACAACAGCCAATGAGCTCACATCTCATCCTCCTTCTCCTTGTCATCCTCCTTACACGACGTTAACTGTGTTACTCTCCAAACTTCACTAAATCGTTTGCTATTCAAACTCGACTCAAGTAATTGCCTGCCACTGAATGTCACTCACCGGTATCTTCAATCTACGTCCAATGCACACATCAAACTCTCTTATTCATCTGAACATTTGTTCAACGAAAAAAATATTTCATTGGTTTGTTTTCAGAGTTTCTTGTTGCAAATCCATTTGGCTGGCTCTCAAATTCTTTTTATCCAACGAAGGCAGCAGTTGAATGAATGTCAACAACAACCTGTCATCCGCAGAGCAATGCCCAACTTGTCATTTCCTGTTAGGTTTCCACTCGAGGATCTCTCTGGAATACGATGTCACTCAACTGTCTTTCCAACTTAGTATTTCCTACGGCATATCTGTTGGATGATAGCTTCGTGGTTAGTTATTTCCCTGTTCGCTTGAGTTACTTTTTGCTATCACTTCCAGACAACCAACAACAACAGCAGCAGCCACATCCAGCGCCAATCACCATCAACGGGAGGGATTAGAAAGAGGTTACTTCATTCACTTATCTATGGAGCATTGTCTCAATTACACGAGGAACGGACGAGGATGTCAAATCGAGCGAGAATCGAGAAGGCGAGAAACACATTCATCAACCAACTGAAACCAATCTGGAAATCTTCGTCACTCAGCCACCATCAACAACAAAATTTGGTCGAATTTTCAATACAAACAACGTCAAATCAGTCAGTTTTTCTATACGGATCGGATCAGAAACTTGGCGGGTGAATCACAAAGAATATTTCCAACAGCCTGCTGCAGACCTTTATCAAAAACTTACTATCTTCGCTCTATACTGAAGATCAGATGGCCGGGCCGGAAACAATCACCAACAAGAAACAATGGGAACAAAGAAAACAAAACAAGAACCAATCGCCAACCAACAAATATGCAGGAGAAAGTGGAGATGGATTGGATACTCGCTGGCTGGGGAGGCCGCTGGGTGACATCGCGCGCGCGTCAGGCCATTACTCGAGTGGAAGGAAAGCAAGAGGGAAGCGGTGAGTGTGACGTTCATGCGAGAGTGACATGGAGGAGATGGTGTGAAGAGGAGTTGAAAGAGTATGGACTAACAGAGATGCAGGTGAAAAGTACAGCAGAAGGAAGACAGAAGTGGCAAGTGTAGACGTGCAGTTGAAGCTTTATGTTCCACTAGGAACCCAAAGGAACAATAATAATAATAAATAATCACTTCCAGATATCACTATTTTGTTTTTCTTTAGTTAAGAGGCTTATTTAAAGTAACCTAATTCAAACACCTCTGTATGTCTCAGTTTAAATAGAATACTACAATAAAAACAAGACATGTGCTTTTTATTGTTTTTCTACATTCGCAATATAATACTATTGTTGTATTTTAGTCTCGATCATTCTGCAACATTGAAACAGATCTATAAAATATGAATTTTTGATACACTTAAAATGTCTCAGTTTACTCAGAAGACTAAACAGATTACTCTGCTCCTTGTAGGAGATATTCTTTATTCATTTAGACATTTAGACTGTCTGTTTTGATTGAATCATTCGTGTAATTTTTCTATATCTTCATACACGTGATAATGTAAATACGCTTTCTGAATTACTGCATATACCCATAAATGATTTAATTTTGTATGGTGAAACACAATATAAATTACTGCTGAATATAAGAAATTAAAATATATCTATATACCTGGGTATAAATGCTATCATGCAAAGCGTTAATGGTTTCGGTCCATGAGTCCAACGTAGAAACACAAATGGTAAAATAAAATCCCATGGTAAAAAGAGGATATCGAAGACAACAATATTTTCTCTTGGGAATCCTTGTTCGACTAGTTTTAAGGTTGTAGCTGAAGTGGCAAAACCAATGCACACCTAAAAGGTGAAATAATAAGATAAGAATACATATATCAGATCTGATTTTCTGAGAGAAGTAATTGTCATAATTAACACGAAGGAATGTACCATACTTACAAAGTACGAATCTATCACCATACACGAGAACAATGAGACAGTAGGTACGGAGACGCTGAAAATGAAGAATATAACAATCATCTATTCGCGGGAGATGCAGACCCGTACGGTGGGACATGAATACCCTTTGACGGGCTGAAAAGTAATGACGTTCACAGTGAGAAGAGTTGCATGTCATTTGGAAGGGAAGATGAACGACAGATGAGTGAATGATATTACTGAAAAAGCGGTCAGCCCTTTTAGTGAAAAAAAGCCGAGGGGTGGGGAGAAGTATAGATTTTGTGTTGATTTCTGAGAGCTCAACCAACAGCTCAGAAGATCTGAGACTATGTTGCATGCCCATTATGGCAGAAACTCGCGATGGCCTACAAAGTGTGCCAATCTGTTTGCAGTCCTAGACCTCTGATCAGGGTCATTGACAAATACTGATGAACGCCTATTAACTACTGACAAATCTTGTCAGTAGCATACTTCATAATGAGAATGGGGAAAAAAGCATTCAAACAGAGGCATTTGTTTTAATTTTTAGTTTCGAATTAATAGTTTTATAAACGAATGGAAACAGGGAAAATCCTGATGAAATGAGGGAGGGTTAAATTTTATTGATCTGATCACTTGAATTGCAATCAGGAAGTTTTGAGCATGTAATTGATCGGTGATATACAAACACGTCTTCCAAAACTATAGAATATCTTATCCTAACGCATGCATTTCTAGGGTGAACTAACATAGACCGACATAAGCTTATTTGAGGAGTATACGTCCAATGTAATAAAGAAAAGATCCTATGACTTAAGTTACAAAAACAACTGGATTTAATATGAATTTCTCGGATTCACCGGAGATTTATTTATTTATTTTCTTCACATTCCGCAGTGGAACATACGGCTTCAAGCTAGTTGCTTGAAGTTTCTGTAGCAGTGTTTATTTTACAGGATGGGGTTGCTAGCTTCACGCCCAACCTTTCCTCTTTACTAGCATTATTTCTGGCTTAGAGAGGTAAAGGAGTGCGTCCGTGGCCAGGGACTGAACCCCGGACCATGTGCACGGTCGGCAGGCGTCCTAACGGCTATGCCACCGACGCACTCATCAGAGAACTATGTCTTTATTCTAGTATGACTCTGTCTGATATTCACATACAAATCCTATCTGTTGGTCATTAGTTTTGTACTATTTCATGTGGAGCTGAAAAATTAGATCTTATGTCTAAGACACAGGACCTACTTCGGACGTCTTGTGAAGACCTAGAACAATTCAAGTCTGTCATACTGCACTGCAACTATCAATACTTAAAAGCACCATACCAACAACGACAAATGATATCAAAAGAGCATAAAGACAATTGAGTGAACCATTGAATAGTCGGGATATAATACTAATTTGTCCAGATAAAGGATCGAGCATAGTTATTTTGAATCGTCTAGATTGCATTAACAAATTATGTACCAATCTTTTAGATGAACAAAAAATTTTTTAAATCAGACAACTGGAAAGACAGAAAGCAGGGTATTGAGAATGAATAAGAATATAAGAAAATTTGAAGAAGTTGAAGAACGAGTCTGTTATTACTTCATATAAAAGTACGAGCATCGCAAGCCCTCTGGTTCAACCACCCCTAGTTTATATGATCTTCCTGAGGCACATAAAGATAGTGTCCCTCTACGACCTATACCAAATGTGCTAAACTCCTTTTTTCATCCTGCAGCTGAATGGCTCAAAGAAATCCATGAACCATTAACATCAAATGTATGTAAACATATACTTTCGGACACTTTTTACTTCGTCATCTGCGCTGACGGAATTAATGTGACTGGTAAGCATGATTTTAATAGATGTTTGCTCCACAACTAAACCAACCAGCTCGGAAAACACTATTAATTGCAGTTGTTTGCTCTTTATTTACAAATGTACCATAAGAAGAAACTATTTGTTGTCTATGTGATTAAATCGACCTTAAATGTATGTACATCGCAGTGTCAGCTAACTATCTGAAGTTTTATTCAGATGTACGCTTAATATGCAGCTTAGGTTTAACGATGATATTCATAGTCAAAAAGAAGGAGTCACCATGCAGGATACATTAATACTTCTCCTAGAGAATGTCTTCATGGTGAGTATAGAGAGTGGTCCGTTGAAAGAAACAATCACGACTTTGCATATGTTTAAGCGATACGTTAATGACACCATTATTTGCGATGACAGCTGCTCAACTATTCAACTTCTTGGAAAATTTAATAGTTTTCCCCCCATATGTGTTTTTCACTATTACACTTGACTTCTAAAATATGATACTAGGTGGAAGACAGGAAGGCAAGTTGAAAAGGTCGACTTAACGAAAACAAACATTTACACCAGCTTCAACAGTTGAGTACCTCCATGCAGGAACAGAAATCTTAACCGTTCTCTAGGCTACAGAATCCTGAAAATATGCCATACAGATACGATCAGCATAGAACTAGGAAACCACTACACAACTCACTTAAATATTGTATATTCGAAAAGGTTTGTCTAAAAGTAAAACCAAGAAAGGAACCGTCTCCAGACAAATCATAGTCCCAAAGAATACACTGTTCATCAGTTTGACGTTCACTAGTAACATCAGTGCTGAAGTGATTAAAAGTCTTCTATCTAAATGTATCTAATGCTCATTTTATGCAGTTGACTTGTATTCAGTACTCACCGGAGGAAATATAATTCCACATTGTGTTGAGGAAAAACTAATGCTTATGACCCCTCATTATTGCATATTCTCATTCACACACTCGTGTGGAGCTGATTACGTTGCACGTCGTAAGTCTGTTCTCCGGAAACGCATAGCTGAACACTACCCCATTTCGGCAAATGAAAGGCGAGCATAGGAATAAGAAGTCTTCAATCTGTAGACACCTTCTGTATTCAGGTAGTTCAGTCCCATGTGATTCATTCTTCGAAGTTGTCGACAACACCAGATTCAATCACTCTACAAACCTACTTCTTCACCATGAGTGCATAGCCGAAGCTCCAGCTATACGTAGACAGAAACCTAAATTACATGTTCAAAACATTTTGTCAAACATCTTACTTTATCTTGGTTATTGTGGTATTCACATATTCTATCCTATTTCACCACTTGTATTCACTGAACTTCATTTTATCTTCGCCGTCTTCATTGTTATCTTCATTAGTACTCTTAGAATTTTAGACAGTACTTGACGTACTATCTTTAAAAATCTTAACACTCATTCACTTATTTACTAAAGTTTATTCATTTACTTCAATTCTTATCACACGTACACTATTGACTAAGCAGTTTCTTGCACCACTTAATGCCTTTTTCCATAATATAAATACAAGTGTACAGCTCGTAAATGCATTCATGGAAAAGAATTATTTTTTCATTGAGCAAACAGCTGTGTTTTTCTAAATGCATCAATGGCTATATATTTCGTAATAATATATCGTCTTAGCACTAAAAAGGACCTGACTGTGTTAAACTGCAGTTGTGATCCTGCTAATTAAATATCATCAGAAATGAATTATAGAAAGCCGGTCATTAAATCACTCATAAGAATCAATTGATGCACACATATTTGAACAGACACCTTCGAGGAAACAGGGTGGCATTAAAACCAAACAACTCCTTCAGAGATAAAATTCAGGGCTCTATAGGTCTAATTAGGAAAAATAATGTAATTTAACAGATATCATGTAATGACTTTATGATGAATCATACATATGGGACCTGTAGATCAGGGTCAGTTAAATTATCGGAAGACGGAAATTTACCTAGAGCAAGAATAACTGACTGTGATAAGATGAATAGTTTAGAAAATAAAATCAACAGATGCAATACATTTACTTGCATAGGCAGTCTGCTCAAAATACATACAACATAAATACACCAATCAGCATAAATGGAAGGAACCTGAAAAAAAACCTCCGACACCTACCAACCTATCTGGGGAGCGTCGTTTCAACTACAGATGGAACTGACGAAGATATCAAAGCAAGAATCGAAAAAACAAGACAGGCTTTCATTACTGTCAAGTCTGTGTGGAGACAAGTCAGCAGCACTCAGCATCAAAAATAACATCCGGATTTTCAACTCCAATGTGAAGTCAGTGCTACTTTACGGATCAGAGACTTGCACTGCGCGTCATAAAGAGCATCTCAAACAAACTTCAGACCTTCATTAACAGTTGTCTTCGCTCAATACTACTCAAGATCAGATGGCCGGCCAGAAAAGATCAGCAACAGTGAAGGACTTCTGGGAGCGAACTAACCAGGAACCGATTGTGCAACAAATAGGCGGGAGAAAATGGTGATGGATTGGTTGGCCATACTCTGAGGAAACCATCAAATGACATCACTAGACAATCCATTGCTCGAGTGGAACCCGAAAGGGAAGCGGCGAGTTGGTCGCTAGTGCGAGGGTGACTTGGAGGAGGTCATGTGAGGAGGAGATGAAAGCATGTGGACAGACTTGGAGCGGGGTGAAACGTTGGCAGAGAACCGAACGCGATGGAGACGCGCGGTCGAAGCTCTATGTTCCTCTAGGAATTAAAAGAAATAATAATTTCTTTTGATTACTTTGTTTTGATCAAGTGAAATATAACCTCCAATGGTATTATTTACCCTCGTGAGTATTTAAAGTGTTTACAGTCTGCTGATTTGTCTGTTTCTACTGAACTTGAGAAGAAGCATACTCGTAGGTAGCTATGCATTCCAATACATGGGATACCTATTCCTCAGCTATGCCCTTTGGGCGTCAAAATTTACTCCCGAACTTTTTAAAATTGGCTTTCAACCAGGTGTTGGGCAATTGTCTAAGGAGACAAAGAAGAAACATATTAATGGATTGGTTTGCGTTACAGGTTATACAGCATTGTGTCACAGACAGGATGTACTGACAATGAATATTTTTACCTGAAAATCCCGTATGATGAGAAATTATCATGCGATAAACTTATCTGAAAATTCTGTACATTCTATAAACACTATCCAGAATAAAGGCATTATTTGAAACGAGCAATAAAGGTTAATAAAGCAGGATTTAATGAATTCATCAAATTTCGGTGGAACTACTCTTCAGCTGAATACTCTACATACACGGATATATATACACACTATTGAAATTTCATTGGGAGATATAAGACTGGTAAGTAAACAAACTACATTGAATTAGTCATGCAAAAAACAGGTGCGAATATTCTCCAGGTCATGTTCAAATAGACTAAGGGGAGAGAGAGTATGAGAGATCGAAATTAAGATAAATTGCATTACGCTTCAATTACATTACTTAGATAAACAATTAGACATTAGAGAATATAACAAGAATTGCAAACAGAGTAATATCAATAGTAATAGTTATAATAACAATAATAATAACAGTGTGAAGTGAGTTAAGATAATCCTACCGATAAGGGATAGTTTTAAATGAATCAAGAATAATAATAATAAGTAAAACGTATTACCATGGTAGATTGATAGTCACAACCACCTCTTTTTGTACACAGAGACCTGGTTTAAATCCTGCCTTATTAACCTTTATTGTCTGTTTTAAATTCGTGTCGAGAAATCAATGTTTTTAAAGCCATTATTATTACTATTGTTGCATGCAATCACAAAACACGACGCACACAAACTATTAAGGAACATCTTTTTCACCCTCAAGTAATAAATTTTGTATGTGTAGGAAAGCAGACGCTGTAAAATCTTATCTAGACTTATTAAGAAGTCATTATAACTAATCTACTAATCAAACATATATTTATATTTTTTTATATTTTTGATTTACAGCTTGATTCCACATTGTATTTTGGGTACAAGTATGGAATTTTCAGCATGGATATCGGTAGTCCAAATTTTGCAAGCCGACCATAGATATCAGGTGTGCATCGGCAGGGGATCGAACTTCGGACCATGTGCATGGTCGGCGAGAGTCCTAACCACTGTGCCACCGATGCCCTAAAATTAAATATCAAAGAATTCATAAACATGCGAGTATTATGCTCATTCTCTGGAATAATTTGAGCGTCGAATCAGATTGGATGAGTAAAAAATACTACTTAAAATGATCGCAACACGTTTAAAAAACATCAAACAAGTTTCTTTTGAATATTTTGCCATGTAAGGCATATCTTCTTCAACAGAATTCAAGTCTTTCATTAATTATCGTCGTAAAAAAACAATATTTGAAAAATGTGTGCCACATTCAATCGCTTCTAAGACATTTTAAGACTGAGTGACTCTGTCAGATTTGAAAAGCTCTGATCAGAAAATTTCCAATATTAGAGAACAATTAAACATTCTTAGGAGTTTGTTTGTAGGGACTGAATTTATTTCACTTTTGATCACGGATCGATATCAGGCAGAGAACCACAAGCTAGTAGGAAGTACTAGACGACCTTCTCTTTCTAACTTGCGACTCATCGACAGTACACATCCACTCGGTTTCTAACCACCGACTGCCCGGTTGCAAAGCAAGCTTGTAAACCATTCAGCCACTGGAACCCAATTTACCAGTGCATGAATTCTACCTTTCACGAGCTAGCGTTGTAACTAGAAGACCCAAGTCTCAAAGGTGCATGTTGCCGACGAATTTCAAAATAGGACGAAACAGCTTTCCAGGTGTCTCAGCTGGTTTTCAGTGGTTCTCAAAATGATATCAGTCAGTGATCAAACTTGAAATAAAGCTCGCGATAACTCCTACTGTTCAACTTAGATACTTGTACATATCTGACTTATAAGCCAATATTGTTATTAGAGGGAATAATCAATGATCCAAAAATTTCTAATATCCGGCCATCCTATTTTTTCTATTCCATTTGTGTCCACAGTAGAACATAGGGCCTCAAACTTAAGCCTTGAAGTGCGTATAGCATTTTGTTTTATTTTTATGAGTTGAGGTTACTAGCCTCACGCCCAACCATCCCTCTTTACCATCGGGCTTACTCCCGGTCAATGGAAGTGTGGGAATAAACCATCCGCAGGGATTGAACTCCAGACTAAATCCGTGGTTTGCGAACATTCTAGTGTCGCCATACCACTGTACTGTAGTACAGCAAAATATAAAAAACCAGTGAAAACAAAATTACCCTCATATTCCTACCTTGGAGATAGTTATCAGCAACAAGTACATCCATACTACTTTCAACTGCATAACACCCAGAATAACTTTATACGTTCCTATTAAAGATAAATTCCGTCTTTCTTTTACTTCATTTTCATTTGGTTCAGGAAGTGTTTTGATATCAGAATAATATGAAATTTCTCTTTGAACACCCTCAGTGTTCAGTGTTTCTGCATTCATCTCTGTACTATTATGCATTTCATTATAGGATTTATTTGATATCACATCTGATAGTTTATCAGTGATTATCATTTGACAAGAGTTTGGTGATGTTAAACGATTTGATTTAGACTTAAATTTATTGCATAAACATTTGATCCATTGGTGTAGATGTAGATCCAATTTTGAATTTTCTTCATGTTGTAATAATACTATGAGTGTATTGAATACCATGAAAAGAATTCCCCAGAAATAGAAAAATCCTTCAAAAAAAAAACAATAAACAGTGTAAATGAATTTTATTTTTAAAAAAAGAGAGATAACATTGAAGTAATTAATATAATTATTAATGAGTCAATAAACTGCATAACTAACAGTCTGAGAATTCCTCCTCTCTTTATTTCATCTTATTTTCACAAGAGATAGATGTGATGTAACATCAACTGTAGATTAGAATTTTTTAGGCCTTATAACTCATTTCAACCTCGCCTAGATTACTAGCTTGTTAGTTTTCTAGCCGGTCCCAAGCCCGAATAAAGAGGGAGGGTTGGGGCGTGGTACTAGCAACTCCACCCTCGAAACTTAACCAAATCGCTACAGAAACTTCAACGCACAAATGTATTAAAAATTCTAAAAATATAAACAATAACCTTATTTTTCTCTAGAATTGGGGGAAGTGAAATGACACAGTCTGGTGAAAGCCTTCGGGAAGCCAGTCAGACGATGTGTCTTCTTTCGATGAAAGCAAAAATAAGGGTGGGTAGGTGGAATGTTCGTACAATATACAAAACTGGAAAGGCTGCCCAGGTAGCCACAGAAAGGAGAAGACATGGAATAGAAGTGTTGGCAATCTGCGACAGAAGATGGAGCGGATGTGATAGGTGCTAACTGCCAACTGGGGAGACAATACTTCTATTCTGCCCACCCACAGGACAATCACGAGCACATAGAGGGAGTGGCCATCATGATGTCACCAACAGCAGCCAAAGCTCTCATGCAGTGAGAACCAACAACATCCAGCGCCAATCACCATCAACGGGAGGGATTTGAAAGAGGTTACTTCATTCACTTATCTAGGGAGCATTGTCTTGACTACAGACTGTCGGAAAGGACAAGGATGTCAAGTCGAGTGATAATCGGGAAGGCGAGAAACACATTCATCAACCAACTGAAACCAATCTGGAAATATTCGTCACTCAGCCACCATCAACAACAAAATTTGGTCGAATTTTCAATACATACAACGTCAAATCAGTCAGTTCTTCTATACGGATCGGATCAGAAACTTGACGGGCGGGCGGGTTACAAAGAATATTTCCAACAGGCTATTGCAGACCTTTATCAACAAGTAACTGTCAACTATCGCACTATGCTGAGTGAAGATCAAATAGCCGGGCCGGAAACAATCACCAACAAGGAACTCTGATTGGAAACAAAAAAAACAAGAAGCAATCGCCAACCAACAAATATGCAGGAGAAAAAGGAGATGGATTGGACATTGGACATCCATCGCTGGGGAGGCCACTGGGTGATATCTCGCGTGCATCAGGCCATTTCTCGAGTGGAACCAGGCCGAAAGGAAAGCGGCGAGTGGGACGTCAGTGGGAGGGTGACATGGAGGAGATGGTGTGAAGAGGAGTTGAAAGAGTATGGACTAACATGGATGCAGGTGAAAAGTACAGCAGAAGGAAGACAGAAGCAAGTGGAGACGTGCAGTTGAAGCTTTATGTTCCACTAGGAACCCAAGGGAACAAGAATAATAATAATATAACTCATTTCGTGAATGATTTATGTCTTATGTTACACAAACTCGAACATTTATGGGCGAAATGCAACAAACCGACATAAAAGGCAGGTAGAGTAGACATGAGTTTAAGTAGACATCAAGAAGAAGTCAGAAGTGATGAAGATAACCAACTGACACTAACGACAACAACAACAAACAGCACCAATCACTATCAACGACACAAAATTTGAACGACATTAATTCCTTCACTTATCCAGGAAGCATCGTTTCAACTACAAGCACACGGCACGAATAAGGACATCAAAGGTGGAGTCCGGAAGGCATGGTGAACCTTTATCACTTTGAAATCAGTTTCGAGATCTTCTGTAGCTAGCATAAACAACGCGATTCGGGTATTCAACAACAATGTTAAGTCAATCATTTCCTCTATATGGGTCAAACACTTGGAACGCCTATCACGAAAAGTATTTCCAACAGGCTAGTGTAGACTTTCGTCAGCAGCTGACTTCATTTCATACTCAATATCAGATTGCCAGTCAGAGGGAATTAGCAAGAAGATACTCTGTGAACGAACCACTCAAAAACCTGTTGATCAAAAATTATGCAGAAGTAAACGGAGATGGATTGGGCCGTCGCTGATGAGACCGTTGAAGGACATCTCTCGCCAGCCCATCGCTTGAATGAAATGAAAATAGGAGACCTAGGGTTGATCGTGTGTGTGTCCTAGGGTGACATGCAACAGATCGTCTGTGGGGAGAGATATAATGGTCGATCGAGGGGTCAGATAAAGAGGACCACAGAGAATAGGAAGAACTGAAGATGTGCCGATGAAGCCTCATTTTTCACTCAGCACCCAAGGGAACAACAAAATTGCCTAATAACTTGGCATTCAAGTTTGTAGTGTCCAAATTCGAAATTAATCAAATCCTTTTTGCAAACCGACAGTTGAATATTAACTTGATGATGAATAGTGAATGACTACAGAATGAAATCATCTGAAGTCTTAGTGATAAGTAATGAGCAGCGAGGTCCACAATATTGGGCATGGGGAGAGATAAACACCAATGACAATGTCAGGTGGTTGTAAAGATAATATCACAAAATGATAGAAGTTAGAATGCATGAGTTGGTCATTGATTCCAGTCCTATTGGATGAATGGCTAACGAGCTCGCCTGGTAACCTGAAGGTTTCGGGTTCGATCCCAGGTGTGTCATGTGCGAGTATTGCTGTCCCGTACTCCTTGATTTTCAATGGTTCTCTGACTAAATTCAGTTTATAACCATACTTGAAACCAATCGATCCTCTTGCAGATCAGTCTATATTTACACCTTAATGAAAGTCATAAACATATGGTAGTTGAAACAGTGATAAGTGAACAACTCTGATTATTTATTAATAAAATTCCTTTGGGTTCCCGGTTGAACATAGGGCTTCGACAATACATCTACACTTTGTTCTATTTCCTCCTCCCTCTTCAGCTGGCTCCACGATTGCCCATAATCTTCCATACCCTCCTCGTACGAGCTCCGCCATGTAACCCCCGAACCGACATTCCATTCATTGCTTATCATTGTGATTCCACTGGTATGACGGCGTGGGATGTCATTCGACAGCCACCGCAACAGATGTTTGATCTCACTCTATTTTCTCCCACATATTTCCTAGGCAATTAGATGCTGTTTATTTTGCTGCCATTGTTTATTGTTCCTGACTCTTTCGGGCCAGTCAGCCATTTAATCTTCAGTACTGAGCCAGCGAAGAGGGCGACTGTGTTGGTAAAGGTTTGTAAATTGTTGGAAATATTTTCGTGATGCGCTAGACCAGTTTCTGACCGCTTTATATGGAAGAACCGACTGATTTCACATTTGTGTTGACAGTATGAATCTTGTTCTTTTCACCTAGGTTGTCTTTCAAATTCTGGTTGGCTTATGCAAAATTTAATGAGCACTTTCCGATATCAATTAATGCCTTTTCCCATAAATATAAACACGACTCTACAGCCTGAAATTTGAATTCAATGAAAAGAAAAATTACTTCGCTGAACGAAACTGTGTTTCTATCATTGTAAATCCATTCATCCTGGTTATACAATCTCCAGTAAAACATGTAAATTAGAATCAAATCACAAAGTGTGCTGTTCAGCGCATACTTAATGGAATAATAATCAGTTATCTTTTTATTACCACTTAGTAATATTAATCTTTGCTTTATTCCAAAAACAGTACTAAAGATACAGCCAGGAATTTTCAGCATTCACTACAATATTGCATCTAATTTACTCAAAACGATAAAGAATGAACATTGCATAATAACAACAATAATAACAAAACGTTGTTATGGCAGCTATGGTGCAATTGCAGAATGAGATTAGGAGAAAAATATGCATAAAGTATAAAACTGTAGTAATAATAGTATTAAGAGATTAAAATATTGCCGTTAAGTTATAATTAAACGATCAGAAGTGTGATACCATAAAATTGCAGAAAGATGAACGATGAAAGGGTCGATTCAGCTTTCTAATTACATAGTAACTTATATGTTTCACCTCTAACAGTGTCTTCATCATATAAAATATTTATAGATACCCTCTTCTTCAGATTCTACAGTCATTTATCCATAATGACTTTCCTTTAATTTCCTTTTTTCTTTCTCTTTTTTCAGTTATGTGCTGCTTTGTTTCTTTCTTCCTTGCAAACTCTACTTAAAACATTCTTCATCCTCTCAAATTCTGTACATCTCGACCTTTTGTTACCGCTTACGTCAGTAAATATGCTACCATCTACTTTTCTAACATCTTCAAACACTCTGTTCAATTTTGGCTTTGCTACCGACATGCCAATATGTTGTTGTCATAATGAACTGAGATTACCTTAATATATGTGGAATTTTATTTATTTTTAATGTACAAACTGGATGCGCAATCCTGTAGTAAAATGCTGAGAATTCCATTCTGTATTACAAGTACTGTTATGGAATAAAGCGAATTATTATTATTAATAATGGTTAGAGAAATAATTAATATTTTTGCTAAGATAACATCGAATTGTGTGTAGATTCTCCCCTGACCTTGTATGGACAAACATTTGATTTTCTTAATATATCTTTGGTTATATTGAATATACTGATATACACATACATAACCACCTTCTACCTGATTTCCTCACCAGGTTCGTGGTGTTAATATCGCTTTATACGAAGCCTATAATTATAGTGAATAGAATTCAACATAAACACTGATCAGGATTTTGTGGATGGTGGGTGACTAGGAGTGGAATGCAGGATGCGCATTACATCGTGTTTCGGAGTCATCATCTACATGCACTGCATTCCCCAGTGATTGACGATTATCTCACTGAGGCTTGAACCAAAGCATTATCCACTAGACCACTTGGGACACAGCAGCCACCTATTGTGCGATGGGTATCGGACATTATTAGATTCGATTGGGACTTTCTCGTTGACTGACTAGACAGATGTGTTTAACCTTTGTTGGCATGTCGGTGCGTTGTGCTGAT